TTTAGTAGCATTAGCCTGGATACAAACTCACTACATCTTGACAATGACGCTGCATAGTGATGTGTAAGGCTGATATACATTGAGATCATCCACCGTAAATAATCACACGAACTTGTTATTTTTAGAGGGGAAAGTATTCTATAATCCCACTCAGGGGCTATCACCCCCTAATCACTGAATGGATGGTGATGAAGAAAGAGTGGTCCCACTCTCCATTGATGGACAGTGATGACCCTAAGTAAGGTTTTTCATAGTCTGTGAGATTATGGTATACCTTCCATTCTACACACATAAAAACCAAGCAATGCTAGAAGTTGATATTATGTCGAGAGGGTCTCTTACACATGTCCTTTATAAATCATTCTAACCATGGTTTTGAAACTTAGCCGCTCAATTGGGACTCCCGAATTCAAATTGGCTTCACAACCTCTCATGTTTGGGACTCTGAATAGGCAATTAAATTATTATATTTGGAATTTGGATATGGCCCTAATTCTGAGAGATCCCTAGAGATGATTAACTCTCTGTCCATGAGCAGTGTGATAGATTGGCCTGAAGTTTTGGACCAAGATCATGTTTGCAAGGCATGAAAAATCAGAAAATGTGTAATGAAGGATATTTTGTTAATCTCCAAGGCTTGGTTGAAATTATCATTTCAGGTTATGAGATCATTTTGAAAATCATCTAATTGTGACTGTTTTGGACCAATTGTAATGTTTCATGGGTGTTTGTGGTTTCCAAACCATAGTGGCATTGGGATGGGGTAGATTACCTAGTGGTGGTATTTCAGTTATCACGGGAAGAACTTCAATTGTTTTTCTGGATTAGACTGCATCTCCTTTGTGTCTTTTTCTGTAAATTTAAAGGTTCATCATCATCATCATCACCATCAGAAATTTGTCCCAACTAATTAGTATTGGCTACACGAATCCTAGTCCGTCATTCTGTTCCATCAAGGGTTATACCTTAAGTGAGGTCATAAGTCCCTTTATCTTTTCTCTCTACTTCCAACAATGCCTTTTGGGCCTACCCTCTTGTCCTTTTTGAACCTTCCACTTGAACTAACTCGTACCTCCTAACAGTTGTTGTATTGGGTCTATGTTGCACATCGCCAACCCAACTAAATCTACTTTCTCTCATCTTGTCACCTATTGATGCCACACCTAAATTCTCCCGAATGTTAATTTAAAAGTTACTTATAAAAAAGAAAGAAAAGTTCTAAAATTCTACCTTTGAACATACTAAAATATTGGGCCTTATTTGATATGTAATTTGACAAATTCAACTTGAATCCTGAATGATGAAATTAATAGAAACCCAAGAGATTTGGGAAAGGTGAAGTTTCCATTGATAGAAAAGAAAGAGCTGCAGTTGTTTCCAATGCTGACCTACACAACATTAGTGGATCAACTCGAACATTAATTCAATTGGTTCATCCGTAAACATACTATGGTCCAACTGACCAGAGTAAACCATAAGATATTGGAGTCATCACGGTGCTTTTCTGTTGGGTTGCACTCTGTCCATGGCTGTCCATTTTTCAATGCCAGTGATGATTGCAAGTGACTATGATTTTCTGTAGCCTATTGAATTATACTTACTCTCTTTTCTTTGTGGGTGATTTCTTGAACCGAATATGAACTTTTGTTTCTGGGATGTATTCTGTAGGTATCAGTCTTGTCTGTCTGTGCAATGTCTAGATGCATATGGGTGTATATATGGTCACTGTAATATTCTTAACTATAAAGCCAGACGATTCTTCTTCTTTTCTGTTTTCATAATCTAATTCATCGTTCTTCTTTGTCTCTCCCTTCTAAATTTTGTTTCTGAGATGTCTATTCTCGTATTTTTTGCATCAGATCTCCAGAACGTGTTCATTTCCATTTTTTTATACCTGAAGGACAAGAGAAGAAACTCTCCTACTATAAGCTCAAAGTTCTATTTCCCGATTCCAATCTAGAGATGATTGGGTAAGACAGTCAATTTAAGCCTGTGACTAAAGTTGCTGTTTGCTAAATATTCTTCCATTAAGGGTTGTTGCATGCTATACAGGCAAAAGGAAGTCAAAGAAAAGTTGAGAGTTTCTTTCGATGGTAGACATCTCTGGTCCTCTCTCCTAGGAATCAAGCCATTTATCATCTCAACTGTTTACCCAAATCTGAGCAAATTCATATATGTTACTCCAGACGTGATCATGAAGGTAGGTGGGTTGATCTCTCTCTCTCTCTCTCTCTCTCTCTCTCTCTCTCTTGCACAGTTTTTGTGATTTCATGGATGTGTGAACATATACATGAGGTATTTACTTTCATGGTCTTTGTGTGTACATATATATACATGAGGTATTGAGGTATATAATATGCTCATATAAGAAAGAGTGGATGGTCGATTATAATAGTTACAAGTGGCATCTTGGTTAGGATTTTCTTCCCTTGCTATTTCATTTGCAATCTTAAGCATCATTGACAGGGAAGGGTAGAGGAGCTCTTCAAAATTGATTTGGAAACCCACGCCATTGCGGCTGTTGAGGATTGCAGCAAAAGACTATCAAGCTCTGTTAATTTCAATGTTTTGGATGCGGTTCAAAGATCAGCAGACAAGCCTTGGGTTTCTCGAAGTCCTTATAAAAGAGATGCTTGTGTGCCTGACATGAGAGTTTTACTGATTAATGCCAATAATTTAGCTGGGGGAAAAATCGTGCAGGCTGTGCAATGGTGGGACAATGTTCTCAACGGGGGGAATGACAGGTTCACATTCTCTCACTCCATCTCTCTCGCATTCAATCGATACACTCATCTAATTTGATCCAATTTGATATTTCTTTTTCTGGGATTGTGTGGTAGGCTTTGCTTGGACATTGATTTCAAAATATGACACCAATCTGTTCATGGATGGTTGATATAATATGACACCAATCTGTTCATGGATGGTTGATACTTTGATTTCATCTGTTTGTGCATTGGCTTCTTTTTATCTCTATCTGTGTAAGTGAAAGGCTTATAACTGAGAAGTTTGCCAAAAAAAAAAAGGTCTTTTAAGGTGGTCTTGAAAGCTTTGAAGTTAGCTAAGTCTTGTTTATCTTAAAGAGTTCATTTTTTTGTAGCAGTAATTGATAACATGACCTTTCCAACTGAAAATGAAAGTTGGATTGTGATTTCAATGCATCAATGAAACAGTTGTAGGCTTGTTCGCTTTTCTCATCAACCCTATGCATTGTTTTTCATTTCTTTATAAAAAACTTGGGACTATGATCTGCATTAATACTGCAGCAGGGTCCTTGATTGTATGTGTTCTACTTTGCTGTTGACATCAATAAGAGAGTTGTGATATGCCATGGTAGTCTGGTCTATATTTTCAAACAAACTTTATCATGGTAATTTCCCTTAAGTTTTACTTTTCCCCGTTCTGGCACGCTTACAATGTTAGGGATGTGTCGCTATTGAGCCCCTCTTCTGATAAAAATCTATATTCTCATTTTCCTTGAATCAAATGCAGGAGCGAGGAAACCAGCCCTGCAATCCTTCTTACTCTCTATAATAAGTATCTCAAACTCGACAGTGGTTGGAATGTTACTGCTGAATTTGCTCCATCTGGACATGAAGATAATGCAAAGATTCTCCATTTCGATGGACCCAAGAGGGTGTGCTCAGAAGCTGATTCAAAACCTGCTCAAGAAACACACTATGGCAACCTCTGGCGCCAGTACATGCCACCCTCATCCGATCGAATACTGGGGGATTAGTTTCTCTCTCTCTCACCATTGGATCAGATAATGGGGGAAGTCTCTCTCTCTCTCTCTCTCTCTCTCTCTCTCTCTCTCTCTTGTAATATACATCGCCTTGGTCTGGCTCAGATTGAGTTGATGTTACATGAAGCTCTAATGGGTTTCTTTAGGTTTCTCTTTTTCTTTTTCTTTATTTTGAAAGAATGGATTTAGTAAGTTTGATGTTTTTAAATTCAAATGTAATTGAGTTAAATTTTTATGTGAGCATCCATTGTTTTGTTGCTTTTGAACTCTTGGGGAATGCATCTTTCTGGCCTTGCCCTTGTGGTTCTCCCAACTTTGCAGGCATTTTGGAGATAGAAGACAGGGGGAGAGAGATTTTACAAAACAATTTCAAGTGGTTTTGCAAAAGAAATAATAAGGCCCAATTGCAATTAAGAATCAATTCATACTTGAAAATTGAACACCCATTGCGGTTTCATAAGGCCTAGGCTTTATGACAACAAAGTAAAACCTCACTTCAAATCTTCACTTGGAAAGTACTTTGGGCATGAATCTTCATGATGGTTTTAAAATCAATTTCTTCATGATGCTCTAAAATCAATTTCTAACACCGACAATGAAATGTGAAGCTCGAAAAAGGTACAGATCTTACAGTTTATGAATTACTTATTTTTAACCCTAAAAATATGTACTATTTTTAGGGTTTGAAATCCTGTATTTTTTCACTACTATAATTGTCATAAGAGGGATGAGGGTTTTTGGACGTCAAAATTAAAAATTATAATTTTTAGTGAGTTTTAAAGTAGAGCTTTACTTATTTTGAAGTAAGGCTTTTACTTATTTTGATTGGTATATCCCTAGACTCCCAGTTATGGGCCTAGTGCTCAGTATTCCACAAGGAACAAACGGTAACGTGATTTATGTGCTATCAAACAAAAGGGAGAGCGAGTTTCTTTTTATTATTTGCCAAAGGTACTAATAAAAATAAGGGATTCTATACTAGGAGACTATTTTCATTTGGTATAAAAGAGGTCACAATCACTTTAAATGATCAAATGGCAAATCCTAAAGCTTAATCACTTTAAATGGTCAAATGTCAAATCCTAAAGCTTAAGATATATTAGAAGATAAACCTTTTATTTTGAACTTTAAACTTGGTTAGTGGCATATACCTCATTAACAAACACCAGTAATTGTGATTTTTTTTACACAAAAGTTAAATAGTCTGATTTTATACCAATAACTATAGGTAATTGTGACTTTTTTGTACAAAAGTTAAATAGCTTTATTATGTACTGAAAACAATATATATTGTATTAGTTGACATTTTATGAACAATTATTCTATTGGAGTTGTGAGTGGGACCAAAAAGGTCTATAAAGTTGAGGGTAGTCAATTGTTTCAATTTAACGGTGGATATCAAATATCCTGAGAATATTATGCCAAATACCAGAGGGGAGATACAGAGAGAATATTCTGCCAACTATTATTCAAAAAAAAAAAATTCTGCCAAATATTATTCAAAAAAATAAAATTCTGCCAAATACCGGAGGAGAGAAAGAAACAGCAAAAGAGTGATAGTGTATTCATACCATGTTCTTTAAAAAATATTGAATACAATATTTTTAGGAGGAGGCATGAATCATAGGTGTATATCTTAAATGTTGCTTGCATATTGAATGAAATATTGCACATTTTAAAGTGGAGCCTCTCTCTATCCCTTTACAAAATCATTCGAAAGAGGTTTTGAGAAATTGGCACGTTTATCTCTCTCCCCTTCTCTTTCTTTCTATCTCTCTCAAGAGAGATTCTCCAAACCATATTCCTAAGACCAGGTTAGATATGCTACAGGTAAAACAGAAAATGAATTTGTAGTTAAATAGGAAGAAGAACAAGCATTAGTTGGTCTTTTCAAATGTACTTGCAAAATCGGCCGGGTCGACCCGGAACAGGCCATTTGGCCACTTTTGGCCGGTTAGGGTGGTCAAGCCACAAACTTTGAAAAAATAAAAAATTTGAAGAAAAAAAATTAAAGAACAAGAAATTTGTTTGCAATGGACTTTTTAATATTTTCTATACTTTTGAAAAAGATTGAGAAGTATTTTGGCCATAAATACTTGTTTTTATATTTTTTCCTTTTTTTTGGATTATTTTTGAAATACCCCAGACATAAATTGAATATTAAAATCCATTTTTTCACTATTTTTTTAATCTCATTTGGATATATTTTATATACTTTTTATATTGTTGAAATTTTGCTTCAATTTTTTTAACCCTTTTTAGCGGGACCTGCCCAATCGGGCCGGCTATACAGACTGGTTCTGGGTTGAGTTTTCTAACACTGTCTAAAAGGAAAAAATATGGGCGATTTGCCCAAGATTGCCCAGTTCGTTACAACAATTAAGAGGAAATCGCCCTAATTTTTAAAATAAAATTTTTTATATAAGGTGTCTACAAGTATATAGTGTACTTATAAGGTACACCTAAAAAATCGACTAGAGAAAGTTGTTCTTCAAATCGATTATCTCAAGATTCATATACATATAAAAATAAATAAAAATTTTAGTCTTAAAAATAGTTCATTTTCTAACAATGTCCATTTTCAAGATTTTCAACTGTTTATAGATTAGTTTGATCATCACCATTTATGGAACTCTTTGCGGCACAGAAACTGTAATTTCGGCATAATTTTGAATGCACCCTACTTAAATAGCATAAGATTGACACCTTATAAACACCAAAAATAGGCAATTCTTCTTATCAATGAAAAAGCCTATTGCTTACCGAAAAAGACCTTGACCCGCATATTTCTCATATCTCGTTTTTGCTCGATTCTCTCCAAAAAAAAAAATATTGATATATCATCAAGTTTCCACCCTTTTACAGTTAAATCACTAATTTTAAATGTTCGACGTAAATTTCTTATTTCAAAATATTTGTTGATGGAAACAATTAAAATGAGGGAAGAAATAATTGAAATAATGTATTCCTTAATAATAAGAGAGGAAATAGCAGTGATATTTTCAGTTCAAATGACTGAATTAATTTCCTAACAAGGTCAAAAATAGTTGCCGCCTTCTCCTGTTATTTTATTTCAAACCATCTGTGTTCTTCTATTTTTTTTTCTTTCGCGGGAATTGTTTTGATAGGGTTGCACACGAATCAAAATAAGTAAAGCGTGACCACTAAACTCATCGAAAATTATAGTTTCCGCAGCAGAAAACTTTCAAAGCGATCTTCTCCGCCTTGCCATTATGGTTGTGAAAGAAAATTAGGATTTAAGCCCTGTATTAACAAAATATAAGAGTTCACAATCCACATATCTGTACCACTTTTTGAGTTTCAAATTTCATAGTCGGAAATTAATTTCATAGAAAAAGGAACTTCTTTCCATCTAGTTGCTGCTATAGTTGCTGCTACATTTGATGGCTTACAAAGTGGAACCAAAAATAGTTGCATACACAAAGTGATTGTGTAGGAGTAATAACAAAATAACATGTTTATTTATTAAACAAAAGCATCATACCCAAAAGATTTCTATTAGCCAACAACATTACAAAAACAGGAATACATCAACATTCAGATGCATCAAAATACCAATTCAAAACAACAGGTTCAACTTATTTAGTCTTTTCCATGAGATGCAAGCTTTGAGGGATGTGCGCGACTCATGCGTGATGTAATGGAGTAGGCAAATATTTCACTTGGTCCACCATATGAGGAAGTCCTTGCGACGGTTAATCTTCTTCTGCAATTGGAGGACTCCATAGAGAAGAGCCTCAGCTGTTGGGGGGCACCCGGGAACATATATGTCAACAGGGACGATTCGGTCGCAGCCACGCACCACAGAGTAGGAATAGTGATAGTAACCTCCACCATTGGCACAGCTGCCCATTGAAATGACCCAACGAGGCTCCGGCATTTGGTCATAAACCCTATGGAATAATTGAGATGCAAATGAGTTACAATAAAACTACACTCTTACTCAAAAACAAAAATGCAATCCTTTGCTATATCATAAAACCATATTCCACATTCGTGAGGGTGTTTTTATAAGTATAATGCAAAACACTTCATATTAGTCAAACTTTTTGCATGCATACCATGGAAAACCTCATACTGATTAGGGCTCTTTTTAGGAGAATCTCTATACAAAAGACACGCATGCACACACACATGATCTACAATGCTGGGAGGTCAAAATATACTGATTCAGGGTAAATAGCTTGCAAAATCCACTCTGCCACAGATGGAATGGGGACTTCCCTCATCACGAAAAACTTACAGCACCGAGTTGCTATGTCAGAAATGACATGACACTCACATAAACATATGATCATCACACAATCATTATCCGAAGCTTATCCCAACTATTTGGGGCCCGCTACACAAATCTTGTTCTACCATTTTGCTCTATCAAGGGCCACACCCTCAGTCAGACACATAACCAGATAGTTTTTAGTTTTATGATTTTATCTAATAAAATTGCCATCAGTTTATCCATGATGGATATCTAGGATGAGTCAACATGCTACAAAATTAGCATCGGTTAACCCATGATGGATATCTAGGACGAGTCAACAAGCATTGAGAACACAAGACAACATTGACCACTGGAAACAATTTGACACTTGTTTCATAGTGACAAACTCATGACTCATGAACATGATGCCACATCACCATGTCATTAGGCTTCTCTGAGTAGTAGAAATGCACCAAGCAATTTCCTTACCTCAATCAATTGCACTGCACTTCACCTCTTTGGCCAGGTACAGCCATAACTGCATGATAGTATATAATCCAAAAACCTCTTCACACTTTCGACAAAACTAAGTCGAGCAATAACAAAATTGAACTATACTTAAACTTCCATACAACAGAAATGAAGTATTTGGCCAGGTACAGCCATAACTGCATGATGGTATGCAATCCATAAATCTCTTGGCACTTTCGACAAAATTAAGTCAAGCAATAACAGAATTGAAGTATACTTGAACCTTCCATACAACAGAATTGAAGTATTCACAGTTCCTCATTCTATAGAATTTTGCATATGCCACCCCCGTCTAACCCTTCCCCTGAAACCATCGTAGGAGACCTTGGCTGAGTTCAATCCCACCAAAAATCCAAACCTTTGGCGGATTCTGATCCTCAAGAAAGCCCTCACAGTCGATCACCTACAGCGAGGAGGCATGCCCATTCCTAATCGAGGTATGATGTGCAAATCAACAGAGGAAACCGACGACCAACACCTTTTCACACATTGTGAGGTGACCGCTACCTTATGGGGAGATTTGCTACTAGGCTTCCATTGACCTTGGGATTTTACCACAGTTATTGCTGCAGCGGTTCCAGGTATTCTATTCGCCTCCTTACCCAGCAGTATTTATTTTCCTTTGGCGTGTTTCAATGGAAGCTATTATTTTTGGACCCTCTGTGCCGAAAGAAATGCCAGAACTTTCGAGGGCAGGAAGACAGATTTCCTAAACAATTGGCAGGCCACATTAGATGTTAGACCGCCCCAAATCCCCTGTTCCTGGCCAGATAAAACTGAATTTTGGCAGTTGCTCTCTTGGCAACCCAGGTCAAGCTGGCTTTGGCAGCCTCTTCAGGGATCACAACCACAACTCCCTCCTCTCCTACCCAGGCTAAATTAGCTTTGTCGACTCCACCATGGCTGAAGCTTTGGCTCTCCTTGAGGGCATTAAGAGATACAACCAGGAATGGGGAGAAATTTTGATCGTCAAAGGTGACTCAGAAAATGCCAATTCTTGGACCTTGGGGGCCTTGGCCTGCTCTTGGCGATTTGAAAATATTTTTTAACAATTTTGACATTTATGCAACCATATTCGCACCAAACTTTAGAGCAGACTCTCTCACCCAGGCAGGCGTGAGTTTCGGAAATAACATGGTAGCCACTAAGGCCCATGAAAAATTAATCTCTCTCTCTCAATATCCTATGTTTTCTCTCCCTATCTTCTCTCTTTTCTACATTTTTTGTTATCTCCTTATCTTCTCTCTCTTTATCTCATCCAACTTTCCCAAAATCTCATGAAATCTATTGCTCCCTCATTCTCACGTGATCTCTATTCCTCCCCAAATCCTTCCTTAAAGATTAGTTCCTAATTTATTCCACAAAAGCCTCCTAAAAAGAACAACTCATACCAAACTTCAGATTTATTTTTTTAAAACTAACCAACCCAATTGCAACCCTATCATGAAAACAACTACCAAACAACTCACGCACCAAAATCCTCCCACTTAACTTACCCCAACGCACTTCCTATTCCTAAGACAAATATAAATAAAATAAAATTTTGATAACCCCAATTTTTATTTGCATCATTCTCCTGGGATTGGGAGAAGCTCAACCTCAAGCTTATGGAACTCGAAAACTTTCCTTCATCATCTTCTCCACTTTGTTCCAACTGCATTTCACCCTTGTTGTGTCGAACTTTTGATTGTTGATCCTAATCGAACAAAGTCGTGATACGCTTAAAATTTCAATTGTGATGCCAAAATCTCTTGCACCTTCTACCACTTGTATTTAATGAGTATTAATCAACTAACTTCCGAAGCAAGCTGTGATACGTGATTAATGCTTCAATTGGTAGTTAATTATTAATCTTCTACCTCTTCATGTTCTGCTTCCTCCAATTGCAAATTATGAAGTAGATCTCGTAGATGCTCTGTAGGACGTAGATCTTGTTTGCAAATTTATTCTTGACGTTCTGGATTAGCAGCCTGAGTCGGTAGGAGAACTCGATTCGTCTCTACAGTAAGTGAGATTTGGTGTCGGATCTTCATAGTTACAAGCACTCTCTTCACAAATAATAATATCATTATGTCTCTTCAAATGCCCCCCATGGTTGTGTTCATGCTCTCTTTAATTTGTTGACCCACACACTCCATGAATTGCAATATATCCTTGAGTGTAAGAGCAAATTTCAACCACATTGTGATTGATGGATCTTACTTGCTCTGATATCAATTGAAAGAAAGAAAATGGATGGAAGAAAAAATTAAAATAATAATAATAATAAAGGGTGAGAAAATATAACCTCTCTCAGGGTCTGCAAGAGAATTCACCCCAAAGATCTTTGCACAAGATCAACTCATTTCTGAATCACCAAATTCTCCTCTATTTACAATGAAGGACTTCTTCCCTTTAAATATACTAAGAAGAAAACTAAGAAGAAAAATAATAAATAGATAAAAAACCCACAAAATTAAACTCTCTCTAAATCCTACATTATTTCTCCCTATCTTCTTTCCCTTCATCTCATCCAACTTTCCCAAAATCTTATGAAATGTATTGCTTCCTCACTCTCACGTGATCTCTATCCTTCCCAAATCCTTCCTAAAAGATTAGCTCCTAATCTATTCCACAAAAGCCTCCTAAAAATAACAACTCATACCAAACTTAAGATTTATCTTTTTAAAACTAACCAACCTCATTGCTACCCTATCATTAAAACAACTCACGCACCAAAATCCTCCCACTTAACTTACCCCAAAACAGTTCCTATTCCTAAGACAGAAATTAAAAAAATAAAATAAAATTTTGATAACCCCAAATTTTATTTGCATCATACCTTATGTGACCTAACTATTAAGGATCACAGGGAACAAAAAACCATTTAAAATCAGCTTGTCATATCTAGCTTCAGTCACCCTTTTCCAAATGTACAGCCATATGATAGATTCAGGTTTTCAATTCGATCATAAATTATACAATGAAAGCAACAATTTGTGTCACACTGAATCAAATCTGAGCAAACCACTGGAAATAAGACTCAAGTAAACAAAATTAAAGAAGAGAATACAATAAATCGAGCAGCAAAGCCCTTTTGAGATAACAATAAAGGGAAAACCACAAAGGCGTCACCATACAAATAGCAATCAATAATGAATTAATCATAATGTCGAGCATGGACTCAATGATTTCAATACAAAATGGGGGAATTGTATATGAACTATCAAATGTTGAACCACAACATAGTTAAAAAAGTATTGCCCCTCTCAACAAAGAATCTGAAGACAAAAGGCACCATAAATATTTTTATATATATAAAAACAACAGCACCAATACTTATGACGTAGAGATATGAAATAGACTAGTAACAGAGCTATTAAAAACCATGAAGATAGACAAATCTAGGGTTTCTATGTAGATAGGTAGGTATAGGTTTGAATGGTTAATGGGGAGATAGTAGATAGACATACTTGCGGAGGGCAGGGGCCATCTTGTTGGTGAGGGTGCCGGCAACGATCATACAGTCAGACTGGCGAGGGCTGGGTCGGAAGATGACCCCGAAGCGATCAAAGTCATAGCGGGCAGCGCCAGCATGCATCATCTCCACAGCGCAGCAGGCGAGCCCAAATGTCATGGGCCATATGGACCCCCGACGCGCGTAGTTCATGAGGTCGTCCACCTTCGATATCACATACTCGGCTACCTTTGGAAGACCACTTCCTCCCACTGCAGTCGAGGGGTTCGTGGGTCTCACGTAAGGGGTGGGTGGTGCCGATGATGCTGGTGCCGCCATGGCCATGGAGGAGGAAGTGTGAAAGTTAGCGGCCAAAGCTCCCATAATCCTTTGGCCACCATGCACAAGGTGGGAGGCTCTAGCTGGGAGGAGAGCAGCTGCAATGGTCATCGCTACAAATACGATTCCTCTCTCTCTCTATGTCTCTTTATTGTCGTCGTTTCGTTTACGAGTGTGAGTATGAGCTTCTCCAATGGAAATCTTATGTACAAATCAGCCAAAGAAGATAACATCACATGATGGAAAATTTTGACGAGGAAAGCAGAATCCAGATAAACAAAAATAAGCATGATCCAAAAGGATAAGGTAACTGCTAGTTGAAGTACTAAGAGACAGGTAGAAACCATTAAGAAGTAACCTCTATGATGAAAACAGATCCACATCAAAAAAGTTAGCACATTACGTAAGATGCACTAAAAACCAGATGGCACCAATGTGCAAAAAAATAAATAAATAGATAACAAAGAAAGAAACTCAACCCCAGGTAGAAAGCATGAGAAACAAATATCACAACCATGCCGCTTTGTAATGAAACAAAATGGGAAGTGTTCATTACAAATCTGCAAGCATAAACTCTCCATAAATAGATCACGGTCACATAAACAACGAGCCAGACCTGAAGCATTATACACTACAACAATCTAGTGACAATGGCAATCCATTCATCTTTTCTTACCTTAGAGCTTTCACAAAATGGCAGTCCAGTGACAAAATAAAATTCAAGGGCACAAAAGAAAAAACAAGTTATAGATTTTCTTGCCAGGCCACAATGAAATGATAGCTACCTATCTCATAATACTTTGAAAAAAAGAAAACTGGTTCTACTTCCATCAGATTTATGATACCGCACAGCTTATTAATTAAACAATGGTAGGCTGGGAAATACCATATAGTCTGGGAAGGACCAGATCTTGCTTGATCATTCTGAGCAATATTTTTACTCAAGACACTTAGAAAACATCTCTTTTTTCTTTTGAGAATTAAACAATAAAATCTTACATCATCATCATCAGAGCCTTTTCCCAACAATAAAATCTTACAAGTAACCAAAAAAATCTATGGAATTGCAGCTACAGATAAAAATAATTATACATTTATAGCAAACAACATTTATACATTTATAGCAAACAACATTCACAAGCACTGAAACCGCAAAACCAAGGCAAAAAAAACAACACTAAACGGAATAAAAGTTAAGTTCATCAGCACTCACAATACTTATCACAGCAAGTAATAGGAAATGTCCATAAACAGCAACCTATAAACTAGAGAAAATCCACATAATGATAAAAGCTTGATCTGGAAAAAAAACACAGGCACCAAATCTACCACAACCACAAGACAAAAATTCATCAAAAAAACTGTCACTACTTAATCAAGTCACCATGGAAGTATCCCTACAGGAACCACAAATCCTAATCAGGCATAAAAGGAACAAAATAAAAATACCATAAAATCTATTTCAAATTAAATCACTAAACTGAAAAACAGAAAAGACAAACCAAGGAATACATCAAGTGTAAAACAACACATATCCCTAGGAACCAGTCTGCATCGGAAAATATTCATTTTTAGTAAATCGACCTAAACCAAATGAAATTCCCAGTTCAAGTTAATAGGAAGCAGTACATGCCTTATATATTTGATCTGATCATCTAGTAAGCAAATAAAAGGAACCCAGCCCATATATTGCCAAATACCAAAAGTGAAATCAAGAATCCATCTCAAAAGAAACCAAATATTTCACATAAGATCCAAGCATATTCAACTGTAACGACACATAACACCACTATATCCGTACCTATATAGAAAAAAAGAATAAACTAGTTCCACCAAATACTACGTAAAAGCAAGTTATTTCACAAAAATCATCCCAGCTATCAAAATTTATATCCTCTGGGTAATTGAGTTCATATCCGATCGAGATCCCACAAAACGGCCCTCTACTTGTTCACTTCTTCATGAAACCTCTAACAGTGAAAAAAACCAAACATACTTAAACCAGATATTAAAACTTTAAGCTATACAGTACCACCAATCACACCAAAAAAACCTAATTTTATCAAAGGACCTGCATTTATAAACCTTACTCGAAAGCAAATAAAGAACCGACCAAACAAAAAGTGATATATCAAAAGCCTGTAGCAAGCTAAAGCACATCGTCGTCCAAAAAAAAAACAAAAACAGAGAGAGATTTCCTATCAACCGATCTTTATAACTAAATCTCTAGCAAATAAACCAAGCAAACAACATATATCAAAGCTCGAAGTAAGCAAACTCATACCACCAGTCACACATGAAGCCACAAATAACCTAAAAATGGAATTTTTGGATGAAATATAATTCTCTTACAAATAAATAGAAAAATCGCAAGAAAACAAAACCAGATATTAAAGGTTATGTGATCTTAAGATCATACCACAATTACAACAACAAAAAAATCTAGATTCCCTATGAATGATCTGATTAAGAACCAGTAAAACATTGAAAACAAGTGAATCAACAAAATATGCAGAGAAAGTAAATCCCCATGGATCTTAGAAATAGGGTTTACCTAAAATGGCAGAGAGATACATCTCATGCCGCCTCAGAGAGTTACGAAAGAGAAGAAACGTAGAGGACACCCTATTATAAACCCTAATGTTGGCCCTTAGAGATAGTCCTAGCAATCTCTAACATGAATCCTGGCCATTGACTGAGGGGGAAATTCATTCTGTAAACTATCTTTGGAGATGATAAGCGTGAGGCAACTTGATCCCCACGCTTGCCCAAAAGGCTGTGTTCGATAACTTTCTCTGCAGTTTCCCTAGTATTCTCCCTGCTGCTGACTTTCCTGAAATCTGGGAGAAAGTGAAATTTGGTAGCCTGAAAGCTAGAACCCTGTTTGATAAACTGTGGTGCTACTATTTTAGCCTGTTTGGTAATGTTGATGTTGGGAGAGCACGAGACAGCCTGTTTTAACCGTTTATTATGAATTTTCATGATTTGATGTGTGTAAGGTATATTTTTGAATAATATTTTCTTGCCACTACCTATCTAATGCATTTCCTAAAAAGTATGGTTAAGATTGAAATTTAATCTCACATCTATATTAAGAAATAGCCTCAATAAAATTGCAACAAGTATAAAGAACCAGAAAGGTGGAGTTAAACACACACGATTCTTAAGCCAAGTGAAACTAAAAGTAAGTTCCCAATCACAATACTTCTACAATTTTTATGTTATGAGAAATCAACGAGCAAGAGACATGAAAAAAAAAAATATAGACGAAATAACCAAATTGCCAATGAATATTACAAAGAAAGAAAACTAACAGTTATAGGAACCAAGAGGGTCAAAATCAGAGAAGTATCACAAATAATTTCACTACAAGAACAACATCAATAAATTGTATAGCTAAATATACTAATCTCAAAACTCTGAATGCTTGGTATACAAGCATAATACAGCATTGCGTGCACCGATAACTTGTATTAATGAAGAGCAAATTCCAAGAATGTGAGAAATCAACATGCCACAACATCTAAAGCAAAAATAAACTAAAACAAACCAAAGCAGGTAAAATAGTTCAAACTTACAACTTCAAACTGACTATATGACAAATATCCCAATTCAATCTAGAATGATGTTGTTTGTGACATACATAATGAAGTAAAAACAGTTACAAATTTCAATTTCACGGCTTTCTATTATCCAGTGAGAGATAATGCCATTACAACAACAGAATAACAAAATTAAACCCCAGACCTTGGCAAAAGTAACCGGAAAAACCTAAATTTCAACCCAATGAGTACAAAAACCAATGAGTACAAAAACCAAATGAGTACAAAAACCAAATAACAGAAAACCCCATAAATTATATAACCAAATGACAATAGAATAGAACCCAGTTTTATAGATGTCAAATCCTATTGCATAATACAACCTCCTAAATAAGCTTTCATCAATAAATAAAAATAAAAACAGTAAAAGAATACTTAGATTATTAACTCATAAAACCAACTGAAAATTAGTTCAATGACGCACCACGAAAACAAAACCAACAACGATAGCAACAATGATCAATTAATCAAACACCTTAAGCCCAAAAAAAATTATATAATAGACACAAAATCAAATTAATCAAACTCTAGAGCCCAAATTGTACTTCTCAATAATCAGAAAACCCACATCAAAATTGATGTGACAAACTAGAAAAACAAAACATGGGGCTTTTCTTATTTGCGCATAACCAGGAAAAAAAAGAGAAACAAAAATCCAATAAAAAGCTCTCTGTAGACTTGGGGTTAATCTTGTTTGACCTTAATCAGACAAAAAAAAGAACCTAAATCAGAAATAAAATCTCATTTAGAAATGGGATTATCTTTTTTGAGTTCTAAAAAATTAAAATAAATTACAAATGACACACCCTACCTTTGTCTGAGCGATTAGCTTGCAGCAATGGCCATATGAGGGGAGTAGACCTGACCTGACGTGAGGTGACGTGAGGCGAGGCGAGGCGAGGCGAGGAGTTGCTGGAGGGCTGGGAACTTCGTTGGGGCATGTGGCGACGGAAATTGTTCCTCTCTGTCACTGTAAACGCATCAAATGATTGAATGCACTGGCATGATCACACTGTCTATTTAATCGCTCCAGTAAAACCTTAATTACCAATAATGGCGAGACTCAATTACCCAATAATCTGGTTAACAATATTTTTTAATTGCGCTTTTCAACCCATTGACTAACCTCGATAAAAAAAAATGGCTAAATTTATTAAGAGAAAGTATAAAATGTGACCATTTATCTTTGGTACAAGGTGAGACATTACTCTTGATCATTGGATGTGAAATTGGGTGGCTGCCATCATTTTATTGAACAAGCTCAAACTTCAAAATAAATTTTTTTGAACTTTTGTGACGCATCCAAGCTATCAAACTTCACATCATATGGTTGTAAGTATTTGTGACCACCTTGTATCAAAAGTAAATGGTCTCATTGTATACAATCTTGTTCGTTAAATAACAATTGTTTCATGCAGGCTGGACCGCATTTGTACAATATGTAGTCTAAAGGTATAAAGCATCCATCTTAAAGATTGTAAATAGGTGGTCCATATAAAAACAACTTAAACTAAAGGTATAAAGTTTTCTTAATAGAATTATTATTTCTAGTTTTTTTTTTTTTTTTCATATTCATGATCTCTATTTTAAATATTATATATTCTCTTAAAAATAAGATCGAATTCTATTTTAAAAATAAATTTATGAAGGGGCCCATATTTCTACATATCTCTCCCCACCTTTGTGATAGACAAAAACATCCAAATAGAATGGAGCAGTGTTTTAAAAAACGTCGAGTCGAACCGGACTCGCCCAGTTCGACTCGAAAATCGTAAAAAGTGGATTGTATCGGCTAAAAAATCAGAAATCGTCCGGTTCTAGAGAGAACCGGATGATTCTGTACAGTGACTCGCCGATTCACTGTACGGAATCGGCGAGTCCAAACAGTGAATCGGCGAGTCCCGTTTACGGTTTTTTTTTTTTTTTTTATTTTTTTTTTTTGTTGTAATCCATGAAATATTTTTTGTAGTACTTGATCAATTTTTTGGAATCCATGATCGAATTGTTTTTGTTTTTTTGTAATCCATGATCGAATTTTTTGTTTTTTGTAACCCATGATAGAATTTTTTGTAATCCATGATCGAATTTTTTGTAATCCATGA